CTACTATCCCCCCCCCTCCCCCCCCCCCCCTCGCCCCGGTTCGATGGGAGGGGACAGAGGGCGGGGGGGGGGGGGGGGGGGGGTCGTACCAACCCAACTCCCAAAAAGGGGGTCGTATTTTAGTATGGAATTAGGGGGGTCGTAATTTTCAGAAAATGATCACAACGCGATGGCGTGCCCTGTTTGCAGCACTCTGCAGGCATCAGGAGGCATGATCGCGATCGTAAATTAGCAAAATGCCCCCACCGAGCCACACAGCACCGATCTTGGTAAAAATTCCCATTCCATTAGACAAGAGAAATTCATTTAGCAGGTAGCTCAATTCACTGTATTTCTAAAAGTTACCCTTTTAGCTTTTGGCGACACATCAGAGGGACGAGTGAAGACAGCTGCAATGTCATCATCGAATGAAGCATTTCCCTCATCAACAAGGCTCTCCTTTGAGCTTGTACAAAACACATTTTCGCGGGTTGCGCCGAAAGGATTTGGCTACAAGGATAGCGTAAAGCCATATATAGAAAAGCCGTGAAAGAATAACTGCGACACACCTGGTCCATCTTCCCTTCCGTGAAATCAGCGAAACTGCGTGTTTTCTGCAAATCGTCCACGGGTTTGGTAGTACTGTCATATTGACGTTCTGATCCATGTCGGGGACGGCTGTTGACATTATTGTTCTCAGTTAGCAACTTCTGAATCATCGCCTTCCCTTTGTCGACGAGTTGCCTTGGATGAGGGCTTTTTCTACCACCTTCCGTAAAATCGGGACTCAGCGGTGGTTGCAAACGACTGTCCTGAATGTTACATTGGTGAAAGTCGTTCAACTGGACTAGGTAAAAACTAAAATGTATGCTAAACTGAGGGCTTTGAATGTGGCAACGTCAGCGAAGTCATCAAGCTTCCGAAGACGTTGTTCGACTCATGAAGAGAATATTCAGGTAATTCGTAGCTCCCCGAGCCACTTTGGATATGTAACACATGAGCACTTTTCCCCGCCGCTGCTTGGACGGCATTCATTCACAGTGCAGAAAGTAGCACAGGTACGATTGTGAGCCAGGACATGAGAATTTCTGCCTATGCCTGCAGTGGGCAACAACTCCCGTGGCAGGTGAACGAGCCCGTGCAGAAAAAAAAACGAGCAAAACAAAACATGTGACAGCTTACAAGGGCTTACAAGATACCACCCTAAGCTATCTACGCACTTTTCTACTTGTATAACAGAGGTTCTGCTAGAGCATACCTACCAGCAAGTTAAGTGTCTCACCTCCTTTCTCGGAACATCCACAGATAAATTCGTCCCAATCGGCTCTTCTTTATTGACTGAGCTTTCAAGATCAGCTCCAAAACGATGATCTGGCGAAGGAGCCGTCTCTTTTATAGTGGTAGACTGCGGTTCCTCTGGAGCTAAATGGCGAAATAGAAATATTTTGCAAACTCAGTGCTTTATGCAATCCACACCCTTCTCGTCGGTCATGTTCCTTTCCCTTTCAGTTACCTTTGCAGCCGCGTTGGAGTCAAGGATGCGTTTCTCATCACCCTGTAATTTCGAGACATCCCTTTCTCTGAATTAACGAGTGCAGCAATATCCTGCCACTTGAAGATACGCTGCAGCTAAACTGCAAGATGGATTCTTGCCACTTTCAAGATGAACATGTCTGCATCTGCAGACGTGGGTTAGTTTTGTCACTCGAAAGCAGACAGAAAAGCTGGCGTTGTAACGGTTGGGTACGTTTCAGGTCTGCACCCGCTATCCACAAAGTGTAGTACTTGCGTCCACATCAACATCTCGCACTCATAATGGTAGCTGCCGATAGTATGCAATTAAGGGTAGACAACAAACAAGAGCGCAGACAAGTAACGCGATTGGTAACGGTTAGGCGTACGGCTGATTAGCTGCATGTTGCGTGTCTGCATGGTAAGTAGGTTGAGAAAGGCAAGAACATTCAACTACAAAGACTCTCAGGTTCATTTCGCGCACTTTCGAGTGACAGAAGTGGCACATTTCCACAGCTGCGGACCTGAGCAGCTCAGCAACGGCCAGGACCCGCACAAAAAAGCATACAGCGTATCTTTAATAGTGATGATGATGGTTATCATGAATATTCAATGAATACCGCGTTCTTCGTAGAATACAAGGCCTCATCGCCCGTTTTGTCACAAGAGCTGGCGGTATCGCCCGGTAACCACTTCGTTTTCAGAGAAGGATCATGCTGGAAGTAAACATGAAAATTTCTTGTAGTCAGTATTCAAAACCTAATAAATAGAGTGGTTTCTAATGATAATCTGTGTATAGCATCCATATGAAGTCACAATTCAAAAATGAACCCTGACCGCAGACGACGAAAAGTCGAGATGATCATCAGATATTATTTGCGCACACTCTGTTCCGTTGGATGAATTAGGTGAATCTTCTCGCATCTTAACGACAAGAGTGCTGTATAACCTATTCGGTATTTTGTTCGTGGTACTTTCAACAAGTTAGGGATAATATTTTAGATTCTAGAGAAAGCTGGCGCAGTTTATCGACGGGGGGGGGGGGCATTTTGCTTTCCATAGATGTGTCGACCCATCTAGGTAGCGTTTTCTCGAGTTGACACGTTTTGGGATGGTGGCTAGACGATCCTGCTCCAGCTTTACAAGAGTTCACAAGTTTTACCAAAGTGAGATTTGCAAACCGGAACAAGGGAAGCAGTGATAGTACAAAATGCCCCTCCGTCGTAAACAGCGCCGAGAAAGCCTCCTCATGGTTTAGACAGTAAATAAAATTTAAGCCAAATATATTAGCGTTAAGTAAACGAAAGAGTGTGTCCCTACCGCGCGACTATGCGGACAACTAACTATAAATCAGCAGGTCTTAGATAGGGACGTCAAACGCTAAATTCCAGCGAATCACTATGCAATCGTGAGCTGTCCATAGCAAGGGCCATTTCATACGATCCCCCATGGAAGCGCTCTATTGTATGACCGCTCCTTGAGAACATACAAATATTAAGCAGTGAATGAAAGTGAGTGTATAAACGCACCCCACTGAAGGAAGAGATATAAAACCTCGCAAAGAAAAACCACAAAGAAAACGGACCTGGGTGGCGTTCTTGTCAACGTCACGTTTGGCTTCTGTAAATGAAACGTGATACAAAGGTTAAGTAATTCGGTAGCTTTATACAGGTGCTTAAGATGTGAACAACCATGTTCACTGCAAAAATAAAATGTTGAAAAATCAGACCTTCAACCTTCACTGGACCCTGGCTCGAAGCATGATCGGCAGGACCCACATCATCGCCCTTAATGTATGTAGGGGCACGTACACTGGAGTGATCAGCATGACCTGCAGCTACTGGACCTGGAGGAACGGAGCTAGGTGAAACTGCCTCTTCCTGAATAGGATACTCCATATATAGACCAGCAAGTAAACCACTGAATCTTCAACCTTCATCCGTCTCGGAGGTTCTGGCTTTGCTTTCGTGCTCACCGCATGAGACTGATTTGCATTTTCTGAAAAGAATTGATGAAAAGCTATCTCCAGATTCTTCTTCAGGAGACCCATAGTATCTAAGCAGCAGCAATCCAAGCATGACGCAAAAGCAATCTCCAAATGCTTCATAACATAAAGCGGCACAAAGAACTTAGTCATTAACGCAAAAACTTAGTTCTTTAGTGTCTCTTCGAGTTGTAAAATGTCAATGGTGACAACCAAGTACGCTCCCACTGAAATCCGAACAAAAATTCAAGAACAGCACAAAAAACTAGGCTACTACCAATGCAAATGTTAAGTAATAAGTGGAATCAAAACATATAACGCAACGCTTACTGTTTGCCTCTCGTTCTCTGCAATACTTCACTCCTTCCATCATTGTTGCCACTTGTTCACAGACAGATCGAGAAGGTGCCACTGAAGAGCTATCTGGAACTTCTGATCTTTTGGTAATGCACTTTGAGAGTAAGATACCACAAATTGAACAATTAATTTATGTTCTGCACGGCAACTCTGGAAAACGGTGCCAGCGTAGTATGGGGAGGGGCACAAAAGCCTAATCTGATCGTTTCGCTCTGCAGCTGAATCTGCTTTGCGTGGCTATACTAAGTCGACTCTGGCCGTTCGAACCCTACTAATCCTGAACTCTTACCAGGGAAACGAATCTCGATGTGCATCAGCTTCTCTCCCCCCCCCCTGTGAACCGAGTTCGTGCTGAGAAACCAAACTTACCCATGGACTACAAAGAAGTCAATGGGAACTGTGAGGTATGGCGTAATTTTGCAGTAATGCACTTGTATTAGGTTGTCCCAAAAGTTCGTGGACACTTTTTGAATCTCGTATCAGATTTTTCCGCAGCCATTTCGAGATCCAGTTATGTGGTCTATGGGAAGTGTGTGAGGTAAGCATTCCACAGCTTCTTCACCGTCCCTCGCAGTCGCTGTTCTCATATGAAAAACGGTAATTGAAATTCATCATTTTCGACACACTTCGCTATATGAATCTCTACCAAGCCACGTGGTTGGAGCCATAAGCGGCATTTCCCTTATTTAGATCTTGATGTTAGCTTCCACAGTACGGCTTTGGAATGGCTCAATTGCTTCCGCTTTAGTGACTTCTATCCGGGTGAAAAACTTCGTCCAAGGAGGCCACCTGCCTTGGATTTGGACCTACTGTGTTCCTTGATTAAAACCAATTCGTACAAATCAACTTGCTATCTAGTCCTTACACTTGACTGGTCCCAAAGCACAAATGAGAGAGGGCCTCGCTCCCTTAGAAAAGTTCTGAAGTTCGGTCAAAATTTTTCTCATGAGTTGACCAGTACTCCAAGGGGAGCACATGTGGGTACTGTCTACAACTTCTCTCCCGCTTCCGCTGTACGAGCCTCAAGGTACGAGGTTGAACAGCACTGTAACTGGATATGGAGTGGGTGCCTCTAGGTGAATCACTCCTGGGAGCGCCAGCAGCTAGATCCCCCAGGTGGTAACCAGGGAGCCCTATTGTAATCAACTGCAAAGTGGGGTGGAAAATCTCTACCATTTGGTCCCAAAACCGAGCAATGTTTGCCTACTCCACCACAGCTCAGGGTCACACATTTGGAAAACGACACTGCTCGAGATCCCGAAGCTTAGCTGGGAATTCCACCACAGTCTTCGTGTAGCCCTGACTTAGCTCTTTCCGATCGCCATCTAAACTAATCCCACAGCGGCCATCTTCTTGGTAAAAAAATACGATTTTTGATAGTACCTCAAAAATGACCCAGCTGCCTTTCTGGGCACAGAACTAAGAGGCTTCTGGAAGCAGGGCAACCACACATTGCGTAGTGATTGGCAACAAGTTGCCAATGAAGGTGACATATATATAGTTGATCAAAATTGCTTCCCACTGGAATAAACTTAATTCGAAAAAAGTTTGAGTGTCCACGAACTTTTGGGACAACCTAATATAATCCACCGCTTCCATGATTTTCGTTAATCATGAGTAACAGAGAGCAGGAGAATTGCTCACCATTCATATCAGAATTCTGGTCGCTTCCTGCATGTGTAGCCGCCTTTTCAGCTGGTGGTTCCGCGCACACGGTTTCCCCTTGACTGAGGCGCCTTCTCTGTCTGTAAAGGAATAAAAGTACCTCATCTTTCTCCTAGTTGGCGGAAAAAATAAAGACCTAATATCGCTATAGAGCTAAAAGACATATTATGTCACTATCACTCTACCATTCGACAAAGATTCGATTCTGAACTTACAGCTGGCGACAGCCGTTGTCGAAGACCTCTTCACCCTTGCGCTTCGCAGCCATGGCACCTCCACATGCTAAAAATTACTTAAAGGCAATTCCCGCGACCACACTTCATAGGTAATACAGTTCAAAAATAGAATTGCCCTGTGGTTGTTGACTTATTGAAGAGAAGGAACCACGAAAAAGCGCCCGCAATAAGACCCTCTTTATTTCAATTGATCATGATCACCGGACGAGCGTAAGGTGGTCAAGATCAATTGTGGATTGCAAAAGGCGGCGAGGCAGACGAGAGAGGCCAGAAAATGACGGGCGAGAGAGCGCAATGGCAATGTCACAACGACACGGTCACTGGAGGCCGGCATGGGCCTATCGGGCGCCAATGGGCCTAAAACATGAGCGCCGTGCGTTCTGCTTGCTGTTTTTCAACTTTTAAAAGCAGCATATCCTCTACTGTTGCCTGCTTGATCATCATGTGAGGTTCTAGCCTTAGTTTATCACGGAAGCTGCCTTCAAATTAACAAATCACGTAGGAAATTTCCCTCAATATACCCAATCAGCACGAAAAAAACAACTGAATTTAAGACAGCCTACCTTCGTTATGACTCATCGGCAGTGATTCCTGCACGGTTTTCTGACACACTTCTGTACTGGCAGGAACATTTGATGAATAAATGGCCTGCAAGCTCATTTATTAGGTGGTGCCAAGGGTCTTGCACCAGAATCTATTTCGCGATACGGAATTATATAAGGAAATAAGGGAAATGACAGCTGGATGTTGTGTGTTAAAGGCAGTTGGCACGATGATTTGGTGCTCGGCCTAAAATGCTAGTAGGGCGCTATATAGTGGGGAAATGGCGAAAGAACGGAGTGAAACGGTCAAAATCCTACGAAGAAAGAGCCTCCGTTCTCAGTGACTTGAATATCGATTTTGGACGAGTTTCCCGTAGGCATCTTGCCAATAACCGCTACCGAAGGTACGGCTGCATATGTGTACTCATATATCCATGCAGCATCACGGCCGCTTCATACCAATCCCTTCGCTTCATAATTTGCTTAGCAAATGAAGCAGTACGAGCGTCAGGAACGGTCGTCCATTTGTGGGCGGGCGGGCGTGGCGGGCGTTCGGGTCGTAATGTTGTAGCTTCATAGGGCCCTTATAAGGGCACCTTCCTTGGGAAAGGCGCTATGCAGCGCCTGCTCAGGGTCGCGGAATTCCGTCCTGCCAGGCGTATTAATCCTACTCGTCTTGGGGAATTTATTGCCAACTGCCTTTAACCAACCATACACGGAAGAACAGTTGGCTCCTGCGCGACACCAACTCTAAAAGAGCTGATAAGTGGAAAGCAGGGGAAAAATCCCTCGATGGGATTCAGAGGGAGCGCCTCACCATAAACAGCTGCATCAGAGATCACCATTTCATACGCTGCGCCAATGCTTTGAGGGTTACGCCAGCGTTTCAAGCGATGGAGAAGGTATAGGTATCGATCTAGCTATGCAGCTAGACCGATAGTTGAACTTTCTTAGCCGCTTAAAACGCTGACGCGAATTATCAACAAACTCTTATTTGCAACAAGAAAACTGAATGGAAGTGAGAAACTGTTCCATATTCACGACAATACCAGGTCTCACATGGCAGATCCTTATCCGCCAGAAACTTCTGGAGTTCGGTGGGTAGTTCCGCCGCTCACGGCTTACACTCTGGCCCTTTGTAGCCGCCAGAGTTCTAGACATCTGGGACTTATAGGCTAGTGATGCACTGGACATACGTGGGATTTCATTATGGTCTTATCGCGATGATTGATCCCCATAAACAGTAAAACTATACTTATTCAAAAAATAAGGATTCTAGCGCAAGACTTTCGGTACAAACCACTAACAGCAAATGATGTAAACTAAATTAATATTAATCAACAAACCTTTCCATTGGTAGCGTCCGCATTATCATCTGCTCGGGAATCAAACGCGTCTGAAGCGGAAACATGATTTCCCAGAAACAGGACAAATACCTGAAGCTTTACCCTCTCTATTCGCTAATGCATCCTTTTCAGTCAGGCCACACAAACGTTCTAACAGAGTATGCATACGATCATCAGGGTGAGGTGAAAGCATACCTGAAATCCCAAATGTTAGTGATAACGTTCGTGAGAGTATGGTATCGGATTTAGGCAGCGTTCGCACTTCGCGCCTATAATTATAGAGGAAATGCGCCAGCCGCTGGTGTAGAGAAAGTGTAGGATATTAGGAGGGTGCACTCTAGTTCGCTGCGGACGGTTGGGCGTGTCAGGCGTGTGTCACGCCGTCAAGCCGTTCTCTGCCTTCTTGTTGAAGCGCGCATGCGACAAAAAGTGGTAGAAAACGAGTAATGCGAAGGATATGATACAGTCATATCACGGGCTCGAACGGGTCTAGCACCGCGCCACGGTCATCATCCGCCTGACACGCCCAACCGTCCGCAGCGAGCTACACTAGGCACTGCAGTATCCTCCTATTATTGTACATTTTCCAAAACACTAGCGGTAGGTGCTGATCGATATCAGAATAAGCGATTAAGCAGCGCGTACCATCTTATTTTTCTATACTCTCTCAACCCACTAGCGCCCAGCGCTGATCGATGCCAAACGGTGTGAATAGGCAACGCGTGCTTCTTGCTCTCCTATACTTTCTCAAAACAGTGGCGGCCACCCTCGACCGATGCCTGTCTATGGCTGAGTACCCGTCTACAACAGTGGACCTCTGTTGCAATGGCAGCATCAACTCACGCTACCGCGACGTCTGACGCTACCATACTCTCAAATAAAGTACCTTTTGTGAGCCGACGCGCAAGTACAGCTCCTGTGTGAGATTCAAGGCAAGGATTTGCCTTAATCAACTCTTCGATCTGCAAACAATTACGACCAAAGAGACCATCCATGAAAGAACGTACGAGGTCACAAGCGAAAAGCAGCATTCCCTAAAAGTCACGCTTCTTGAAGAAGGGTGCGTTGTTTTGACAAAAAAAATGGGCAATTAAATGGAATATGTGGAAGTAGCAAACCCTGCAAACAGGATTAAGCAAGTCATCCACGCGGAGCACTGAAGCAATGCCCTCAATTGAAGTGTGAAGGCTATGTTGACGATATTCATCGCGAGTCTTAGATATTTCCATAAGCGGGGCTCGTTTAACCCACATTTCAACCAGACCTCCAATGTATCCTGTAAGAAGTATTTCTACTCATAAACAATACTGTGGTGAAAACTATAACAGGTGTAAAAACTAAAGCTTTTGACGCTGAGAAATCTCTCTGAGATACAACACGCGCTGTACTCCCCATCTGAATCGTAGGAACATTTTGAACGCGCCCATCCAATAACCTGCTGGGGTCAGCTGATGTGCAAGTCAGTGTTTTTGTACTCCTGGCAATTCTAGCAGCAATGTAGTCGGTCCCGTGGAGATGCAAGACCTGCTTAATACTAGGCGATCCAGCCGCACGCGCGGTAAGCCGTACCATTTCTCACTACGCCAATTCTCACTACTGTTTCAGCATGAAACATGAACTAAAAATCATAGTCTGAGCGAGCTCAGGCTATGATAATGCAGGATGTTTTCCGCTGGAAAATCGGTTTCAATTTCATACCCTTCCCCCTTAATCGAGAAAAGTATCGAGGTGGCGTTCTAACCAACCTAGTGGCCAAGTGAGTCTTCAAAGAAGAACGAGCAAAAAAAATATGAAGAACACTTCAGTCAAGGACCCCCTGGCAGGCTCAATGATGAGTTCCTTGTTGCGTTTTATACCGCTTTTGGAAAATGCTGTCCTGCCGCTTTGAGCGCAGTAACCGTTCCTCAAGCCGTCATCCAATGTTAATATCATCTAACAAAGACAGAACGAAAAACATGGCTCAAGAACTGAACTTGCGAAAGAAAATCCTTCACGCTTTGGTGGGCGGCACAACCAGGGAGTTGTCAGAACTGCCACTTATGAAGGCCACAACGCCTTCGTTAATTCTACGAATTTTTGGGGCGCGGACTGTCGATAAGGCAGAACATCACAAAGCCCAAGCTGGTTTGGGAAGACAAAACGCCCATTCCTCTCACCAAATCTTTCATTTGGTTTTCGTACCACAGGAAATATGATAAAGAAAGTATCGCTGCCCATGGCCTCATTAGACCTATTCTCTTCAAAACTGACTTTTTGCGATAGCACTTCCATCCGAGAAAGTAATGAGAACGCGCTCAACCCCGATGAGGTCTCCCATCGTAAAACTACGATGAGTAACGACGTAAAACCCACCAAGTTAGAAACCCACCATCGGGCGCAAATGGGCCTAAAACCTGAGCGCCCTGCGTTTTGCTTGCTGTTTTTCAACTTTTAAAAGCAGCATAGCCTCTGACGTTGCCTGCTTGACCATCGTGCACGGTTATGAGAACCTAGCCTTAGTTTATCGTGGAACGTGCCTTTAAGGCGCCTTAAATGCCTAAGCAGATAGTTACCGTTCGGATGCTGTTGCAATGCGCATCCCAGCTTGTCTCCTTCATCCCTCTGCTTTTTCCAACCACCTGCTGCTGGCTTGGCATGGAAGATCATTCGTACAGTTTCGATGAGCATATCCATCGCTACCTAAAACACATGGCTGAGTAGGCAAAAACCTTATTTTGGGAGGGGGCGAGGGAGGTGGCGAGCAGGAGGTGCGACTGCACTCGCTCTGCAAGAATCAAGCCGATCTTGGTCGTCTGCGCTATCGCTAAGGTTAGCCTTCGGTAAGGAAAGGATGCAGACACGGGAGCGTGGCCCCTCAGAACGTACTCAAAGACAGTGGGCAGAATGGCTGGGGGCGGCCAGTTGCTGCAGACGTCATCGGCAGAAGGGCTGCGAGAGGGCCCCATTTAGCCCTTTTATCAATGAAAACTGGCAGCAACCGCCCACCCCCAGACATAGTTTCCACTGCCTTTGAGCGCTAGGTACAATAATCCATTGAATGGCCACAACGGCTTCAAAAATAAACTTGCCGGGTAGACGATTTGCTCTAACTCGGAGAAAAACGAGTATTTATCCAAATGATGAACAGCATCCTCGATGATTAAAGCAATAGCTTCAAAGTTTCGATAAGCCAGTGCATGAGCAATCAAATAACGAACATCTTTCGAGATTTCCAAGCGACCAACCTGTAAGACGGTGTGAGAACACTCACAAATATGATTTTTAATAGAGACCTACCAATTTCTTCTCCAATGGAGCCTTTTCATTGAGAGCGAAATCGATCCTGAGAATTCGATAACAGCTCAACTAAAACAGTCTTCGAATTTTAAAGCATGATCAAGGTGGCGCATGACTGTACTATTTTGTAGCACATGGTAATAAAACGTTAGTAATGTAGAATCATCGCATTATAACTATCCCAGCGTAGTGAACAAGGGAGAGGGGAAGGATATGGGTGCGTAATATCAAATACACTTCATTTTAGGGCGAGAAGATACATGAAAACCCAAGGGGAAATTCCTGTACAAGCGAGAGGGGGAGAAACGATACGAGACCATGTGCCTGATATCAAATTCACTTCATTTTAGGGCGAGAAGATATAGGGAAAGGTAAAAAAGGGAAGATATAGGGAAACCTCAGCTAAAGAGGAGGTGGAGTTTCACATCTCTGCCGTCGACCTCAAAAGAGCCGCCAGTGTTCGGGTCAGCTACGTAATTCCCGATATTCAGTCACTCGCGAGCAGTTTCATGCCCCAAGCACATCCGTTTGACGGATTCTGACGCCAGGTCCGAGCAGAAGTTCAAGTAAACCTTCGGAGTATTGTCAAAACACCACTCAAGTTTTTACAGTGAAATCCATGAGAAGTATATCTCTCGCCACCCCCCCCCCCCTCCATACAGAATGTCCAGAGAAGCACTTTCTCCTCCAGTTTTGCATTATGAATTTTTGAAGTAATACACAGCTACCTGATCCGCATAACGAAGCAGATGCCGCTTGAAGAATGGCCTAGTAGTCGTGCTGACCATACTGCAAAAAAAAACTTGACTGGTTTGACACCTGGGTGAATAAACGAGTTGCATAGGACTTGAGCAGATTAACTGCTACTAAACAAAGATAGGTGCTCATGCTATTAGAAAGGAGCTCATTTGAAAAGCTGTCTGATTTCTCAGCCATAATAAAGCTGGGAATACAAACAGAATTTTACATTTTTGCGGCGCTCGTAACCTTCGGCAGCTATCTGTAAGCTTTTGAGTAATCATGTTAGCATTCAAGCTTAGCTTCACGTCTCATCCTGCGAGTCTTGTAAATCCCTGTCAAGTACACTGTAAATCCCCTATGCTATGTAATGCTATGTATTCGATACATCGAAGCTATTTTTCAGGCCTCAACATTTTTTTACGAGATTAAGAAGACTTCAGAGGGTGCTTGACTGGTCATAAAACAATAACAAAAACTTACAGGGTGCTGACAAGGCTCTGGTCTTAACATGAATACATTAACAGTATTCGGCATGCTGACAAGTGCGTACACGTATGCCCCCCCCCCGCCTGCATCCCTCCGAAATTCATCAACATCATTGTTGCTTCTGGCAGCGTTATTACGTCGTAAAGCCGATGTTAGACGGGTGACGCGAAGCGTACAGCTCGACAGAAGGCTGGAATGACACGCAGAAGGGTGGAATGACAATGTCCCGAACACATACAAAAGTCGTTTTTTTATGAGAACTGGGTACTGTGCCACAGTATCGCTGTCGGTACTGGAATGTAAAATATTGGGTTCTGTTCTGCAAAGTAAAACACCTTAAACTACGAGGTAAAAGTCTTGTGTCCATAGCGCATCTTCGCGCAAAACACGTGTGTTCTTCATCTGGCTTTGTCTTGGCTGAATATTTTTTTATTCTTATTAGTCTTTCGCAATAAATTTTGGCGCCTCTTTTATGTGTTTAACATTCAGATTGCAATGAGGCTCCGGGACAGCACAATCTTAATATTTCTTGTTTGATCTATTAAGCAAAAATTATATGAAACAAGAAATATTTGAAAATACATTAGGAAATTAAAATATGCAGAGAAAGCTGAAGAGAGCCGTTGCGCCTAGGAGCTTTTCGTGCTCCTTTGCCGCGCGTCTCCGCGTCCACGTAAATAAATGCGTACACCCAGAAAATTTCCTTGAGATGAATGTTATAATTTTCACTCCATAAACGCTTACTCTGCGATTTCCTTTGTTTCGGAATTCAGAGATTCCTCGAAGAAACTAGAGCATTCACTGAAAAGTCGTTCACAGAGCTCAGTTCCTGGATAATACAGCCTCGCGAGAATCATCGCATCTCTGAAAGAAAGCGATTTTAAAAATGCAAGCAGCGGGAAAGTTGGCTCACAAATGGTGAGAGACGATAGGGACCTTGATGTTCCACGCCTTGTAAGACAAGAAACCAATTTTTCTTTCAGGTTATGGAACCTATTATGAAGGCCTCAAGGTGGACAAAGGAACTTTCTAGCTCTCTACCGTATTAGCATGATTCCAACACCGCTTGCGAAATGCTCTCGCTACCATTAACGTCTATTTGTATTTATATTAGCAATTTGTATTTATTCCTTTTCATTCTAACGCCAACTATTTTATCGTACCGATTAGAGCGCGTTCAGACTTCGCGATCGCGCGATCGCTGTGATCGCGCGATCCTCGCGCTACTGTGGGTGAAATTCACACCGGGAGGGAAGGGTCATGTTTGTTCATGTTTTTTGTTCCTGTTCACTTTTCCTGTTCACTTTTTCTTTTCCTTCTTCCTTCCATTGCAGAATCCGAATCTGAAAAAAAATTGAGAGGGAATACAAAGAAACACAAATCAAAGTTATTTCGAAACGTTCCTTAACATAAAAAGGCGTTATGAACACGAAGGAAGAAAGAAGGAAAAGAAAAAGTGAACAGGAAAAGTGAACAGGAACAAAAAACATGAACAAACATGACCCTTCCCTCCCGGTGTGAATTTCACCCACAGTAGCGCGAGGATCGCGCGATCACAGCGATCGCGCTCTTAATCAAAACATGGATGATCACGACATGTCATGGTTTTACCGCTTTCCTTCCGTTTCTAATGCCACGCATGGCCGAGTATTTTACTGAAATAAAGAACACTTCCAGCCCTGTTACAATCCCTCCCGGCTTGACAGCTATACACGATATTTGCACTGCAGTTCTTTGGCTATATATTCAACAAAAAAAAAATAGTCGTCCAGGCAAAATAATGGGCTCCGCGTGCTAAACGAGGCGAAAAAAGGTATGATGGCAACAAAATACGATGGGAAGGAAAGCCAATTTTAGTACTCACAGCTTTAGCCCACATGCGGCCATTTCAGCAATTGCAGATCTGCGACGCGGTGATGGACCAGCCATCAGATCACAGATTAGCCTCGTAATTGTAGCGGCTTCCAAGGTTTCTGGAGATGTTGTTCCACCACGCGACAAACGTAGCATTACTGTAGTTTTGTAATCATCCCATACATCCGGACTGGCTGCAAAATGATTTTCAGTAAACGCTCTTCAACAATGTGTTGCAAAAAAGAGGCTGGTGACAAGACGTTCGTAATACACCGCACCAGTGTGCGTGGTGTACCACGGCGACGGGCGAGTAAACCTGCCTGGCCGTTTGAGGTTTAGTGCTAATGGGACGGGGAAATTCTACATCGCCCGTTATGGAATCTTGTTTCCGCCTGAATTCATATGAAATTCGCTGCTTTAATCAACAAGGTGATACACAGAGAACCTGTCGCGCATCACCGCACCATGCACCTCACGCGACAGCGCGGCAATATACGATTGTCTTGTCCGCCTTCCCAAAAAAATTATGGTAAAGTGCTCTCACACAATTTATGATGTAACTGAAGCAGATCATGTTCGTAATTATTTTCTTCACTCAATTTGCGAGCATATGAGGCCTGAACAACAGAATAATTAAAAATTGAAACCCGTCACCTTTCGAAGAAAAACTTACAACGCCCAAAATAAGGCTGGCATCAATCAGAGACACTAACTCTCGTGAGCGACCGTGCTCACTACGTTCATACATCTCCATATAACTTCGCTGAAGATGATTGACTGGAAAAGGATTGCTATGCTTCACATTTGGGAAATCTGCTGCTGTCTTGGAAAAATAGTAAAGATACACAGCAGCGATCATACCTATGTCTTGTGCTGTGGGCCTGGTATTCGAATAGCCACCTACGTACGAAGTTACTGGATCTCCCTTGATACTCTGATTGGCACATTCCTTCTGAACTGCTGCGTCCAATTTATCAGGCAGTTGTATACCTAGCTGGAAATAAAAGATACAAGCGGAGCAATGCGCGCGTGTACCTACTAACAGTAACAGCTGATCGGTCGGGTGCACCACCCACCCTTCTCCCCCCCTGCAAGAATACTAGCGCCTCGTCAAGCGCGCCCAGGTCCCAGACACATCGGCTCTATAGATTCTGAAGATGCGAGGATCGGGGCCGGTGCCCAACATAAATGTCCACTGCATCCACTCAAACCTGATTCGTAAGCGAGGTGTCGTTCCCCCCCCTCCCCACACTCGCGAAGTGTCGTTTTTGCTCTACCCCTCGTTTTCCTCATACAATTGGAACTCTTTGCTGACCTCACGTTTTGTTAACCAAACTGTTAGTGTAGTAGGTAAAGTATGTCGGCTAACAGCTCACTTCAGCTTCTTTCGCCACCAGAGCAGAACTGAGAACGCACTGCGGCTTTTCCTTCAACCATTCCAACAAAGACGGAAAGAAGTAAATTTTATCCTTGTTGGCGTTCTGCGATACAAGCCTCACTTTCCAAAAATCTACAATATTCGTCTAATTCTTTCTGTAGCATCAACGTTAGAAACATCGGTGCGTTTTGGTGACTGGGGGGGGGGGCACGTTGCACTTTTGCTGCTTCCCGCTGTCGTCTCAAGCCATCACATGGAGACCTGTGAAATCTTGTGAAGCCATGAAGGCTAGCCAAGGTTTGTAGAGACCACCTGCCAACTCTTGTAATGCAATGGAATACCATACAAATCCCATTTACCGCTGACTAAACGAGCTGGCTCTAGCTTCACAAGGGTTCACAGATGCAGAGTGAGACTTGTGAACCTGAACAGGGAAGCAGCTGAAGTGAGGTTCCCCTCCCCCTATCTGTCGCCGAACTGCGCCGACTGGAAGGCACCATTCAACAGTTACTATCCCAAAACCCAAAACGTTTTTTTGGTGAAACTTTGCCCATAAAGGTAATTCGACGTCCTGGTCACGATTATGACATTCGTTTTAGATGCTATTATAGTGCCATTTGGCGCCACTAGGCGCCGCCACCACATTTCTCATGGGAATCGGTGTAAACTTGCACACTGGGATTATGGTACCCCGGTCACAAACGTGACGTTCATTTCTAGCCCTGGTGCTACGCTTGTTCATCAAAATCGATAAAATGTTACTAAAAGGCTTGTCTGATGCTCTAATCACGAAAATCACATCCTTCTCTAGACTCCAGCGCAATTGAGCGCTCTGCTAAGCCTGAGCCTAGGAGAAGTGATTCCCTTCAGGAGGGGCTGAACTAGCAGAGCGCAGATGATCGTAGTATCCTTCATTAGCGCCAGCGCCAAGAATCAATGTCATATTCGTAACTAGCATGCCAAATAACCTCCGTATAAAAGTTTTCAACGCATTCTGTGATCTACAGTGTTTTGACGCCGGCACCTGTTCTGCGGCCGCCAGGCAGTTCCGAGCCGACCGGGTGTGATTTTCGTGTTCAGATGGTCAAACTGGAGACAAATTTTCAGCAAATTCGGTGGTTTAGCATTTTTGGGCCGGCGCAAGCATTTTCGAGGCGGATGTAAATATTCGTGTTCGGGAGGTTGAACCACCCCTAGAAACCAAGTTTTCGGCCAAATCTGCCTTCTTAGGAAAAAGTCGGTCAAAAACTGGCCTGCTTTCGAAAGATTGGGAAATAGTTGAATAGTGCGGACTAGAATAATGATAATGCTACCAAAGTATACCTGCACGTTGATCAGCGGTCGAAAATTCAGGCATTTTCGAATTACAGTAAGACGGTCGTTCGTCCATGTAATTTCTGTGACAAAATGGCAAATGAGATACTTCGAAAAGAAACACTGGAATTACAAAACTCCAACAAGACAGCTAACGTGCACGAGTTCTTTATGTTTGCTGAAATTAAAAGATGTGCAAGTGGAAGACCATCTAGCTGCGTTCTCCTAACTTACACCTAGTTCGGACTGACATCTTTCAAACTAGGCCTGGCATCTCTGACAGTCTGCGGTATAGACCTGAGCGTTGGTCAGAAGAAGAGGCGCAGAGCGCTTAAGAGTAGCCCACTAATCAGAAGAGCTAGCACCGTGATGCTCAAATGTTTGGAATATTGCTAACTTGGAAATGCATTACTGACTTCCAAGTCTCAACTGAACTTATCAAAAGCAGCAAAAAAGGAAACATTATAGACGTTAAGCAACGAAGAAAGCTATGATGCATGCCGACAAGCAATACAAAACCGTCGAAAAGATCGCAGATATTGAAATGTCGGCCATTGGAATGACAACATCTTGACAGCCGATGATGCGAGAACACTGTATAGAACAAAGAAAAATTTCACGCCATTAGTCTTCAGCCTTCTCTACGAACAAGACTATAGGGTGCCTGAGCTTCATGGCTTATGAAATTTCTTTCTGTATTGTTCAAATGAAACGTTGTCACATAATGTTCAAAACAAGAATAAGCTCCAGAAAGTTTATTCCAAAAAACTAAAAAGGCGCAGGAATTCCAAAAAGCTCTCTTTATTTATCGCGACAAATTCTCAGTTGTTACGTATGCTCATTTCGTGACGTTTGGGCCGTAACAGTCCCGCGCTCAACCAGTTTATGTAAGCGTCCTACAGAGGTACTTTGGTACTAATTCTCTACGACTGTCCTTTTTTCGCGGCTTAAATAACGTAAGCGCTGCGGACCTCACAGGTGGCGCTTCTGACGCTCCTCAGTCGTCCAGCCCATCGAAACTTGGAGGCTACTTCCTATCACAAATTTAGTTTTTACACAGTGCTTTCCTTTTTTTCTTTGTTAGATGGTATTGGCGGTGGACGACGACTGGTGAGCCAGAGGCGCAGATATGCTTTAATGGCCACAGAACGAGCAGATCGGAGATGTTGAAGAGGCTGTTCAGCGTCGTCCTCAGGGTGAATTTTTTTGCTTTCTTTTTCTGAGGGTCACTCAGAGACTATAGGTTTGTAGCTGAAGGTCACTACCCACAGTATGCAATCGCGGGGTTTGTCTCTAATATACTATGTGACCCAATAAGAAACAGCATTTCTGTCTTTATAGACGTGCTCCACACCGAAACTTGCAAGGGAGTTTTTGAAGACGGGTTTTTGAGCTAGAATAAAATATTGTTGCCTGACTTTGTTTGTATGTACATTCGAGTAAGAACTCTAGGTGAAACAGTCGAGCAAAAATGGATGAGAAAAACCGATAAATTGCTCTCATGGAACATTTGCAAAGCTCAAATCGAAACGGTGGCTTATACCTCAGAAAAGAAAAACCACATCCAAGTTACATTTCGAAACGCTTTAGAAAGTAATTGGATTTCAAACAAAATTACAAATTTTCTACAGCTGAGGCGAAAATTTATTCGTCGAGCAGTCGAGCACGTCAAACAAACACCATGTTGCACAAGCGTGAACTTGCAGCTGGATTTCCGCTCATTGTTTTGAACAGTTTACAATTGTCCAGTGCGAAGGCCTAATAACAGTGGGTAAACGGTTGCCTCAGTCTGCCTTATCACATCTTCTGAGGCTAGAGGAACTTTGGACCAAATGGCTGCCGAAGGGTTCGGAATTGTGGGGCAAACAGACTCCAGAATACTTCGCAAAAGTCAATTCTTAAAAGAATCAACAGTTCTTGATATTGGAACTTCGAGACAGTAAACGCATAGATAAAAAATGAAGAGGAATAAAGAACAAAACGATAAAATAGGGGCAGAACATAACACTGCCAATGTTGCAGACATAATTGGGACCTCTCTGAATGGTCCCCATGCGAATCCCTATTAGCGAGACAGAATAGGATAGCCTAAGAGACCACGGGTAAGTTTCCACACCAGTGGAGGAAGTTTTTGAGGGGTGGGGAGAGGTCACGGGTTGCTAAATTTCTCCCAGCAGGACGTGCCCTATTGAGCATACTACAGTGCAGTGCAGACTGAACCAAGGGTTCCAATGTATGAAAGCGACGAGAGGATCAACAATAAGTGGGAATTACTGAATCATTCCCTTTACTACAGACTTGCTGTCATGATCCAAAAAGGGTACGATGAAACTCATAATTAAAGAAAATAAAATAAAATAATGGATCCAACGCTACAAAAGGTCATGTCGAGAAGACCGCACTTCTGATTTTCTTAGGCTCAACGAGAAAGCTGTCATAACCTCACTCCAAGGTATGGATAAACGGGGGAGATGCAACCAAATCTCATCGACATAACGTGTAAGAAATGAAACAGACCAACTCGTTGCGCCGTGAAGTCGAAACCTACGCCACCACCAAAGTCTGGGAGACTTCACCCGCAATTCTGGTTGTAAGTCATCTGTCAATCTGTCAAGAAAGTCTCCCTCTGTGAGAGCTCAGATAGATTTCCTTGATGCGTCGTCTGGTAAAGCCTTGCAAGAGTGGACAAGCAAAAAAGGTAAAAAGAAGAGGTACACAGTGCCTCATAGCCGACAGACACTAAATTCCAAATCTTTTTAGTTTGCAGATTTTCCACTCCGATAATGATTAACAGTGCAAAAATCCCTAGCCACTTAAAAATCAGATGCAGATGTAGGAAATCTCATATGAATGAGGGGAACGCATTCACACGAGAAACTACGACGACGAAAACACCAGCGGCACGCGTCACATGACCCACCAATCGTTTCGGGATTTGCTGATCGCTGCGGGACCGAAGAAACGCAATCTGTGGTGGTCCTTTAAAGTACTGCTGCGTGGAGAGAGTGAGCGAGATCTACGCTGGTACGTGCCAGGAATACTACCAAGAGATCTTTATTGGCAGCGCTTCCTTTCGAGTCTAGATTGATCGCGTTTCATTCTCGCTGAACTTTAGACATTGTCGCTCCTCCCGTGGCCCTCTTCGTGAGGCTGCCCGGTCGAATGGAGCAGAGCTGCTACAAATTACCAGCAAAACACTAGTTCAGCGCTTCCGTCGATTTCGAATAAATCCCACCTTAGGGGCCAATCAGGCGTGTCACCAAGGATGTAGTCGAAGGTGACAACCTGAAGATGAGGGAGGGGAAGGCTCGGACCGGGTAAAATCCCTTAGAGGTACTTTGGTACTTCAGAGGTCGCTCCTATCTAGTGCATCGTCTCAGCAAGCGCTTGGAGGGAGGAACGATCTCGGCGGACTGGTCAAAGAGTGCCTATACAGAACTGGAAAGAAGGGAGCAGCTGCACCAGCTGCTATCGACTCCGTGAAAGTTTTTGAACGTGTGGACGCCAGAAGGAGAATAACTAATATCAAGCGGAGTAATGCGGATTTCTTCCTGAACACGGGACCGCAGACCCCATCCAAGTTAGGCTGCGTTTATACTTTGCGGCAGCGTAGCGCTTCCAGCGTACGCCAGCGGCAGTGTCGGGGAAAGGATAGATATCGATCTAGCGTTCCCAGCGTCACCAGCGTACGCTAGCGTAACGCTAGCCAGCGCTCAGCGTTTCACGAGCGTTTCCCTAGCGTTTGCAGCGGCGGGGCTAGAGTATAGAAGAGTAGGAGAGTACAAAATACTCTCCTACTCTTCTATACTCTCTAGCCCGCCGCTGGCAAACGCTAGCGGGGCTAGAGAGTATAGAAGAGTAGGAGAGTACAAAATACTCTCCTACTCTTCTACTCTCTAGCCCCGCCGCTGGCAAACGCTAGCGAAACGCTAGTGAAACGCTCGTGAAACGCTGGAAGCGCTACGCTACGCTGCCGCAAAGTATAAACGCAGCCCTAGTGAAACGCTCGTGAAACGCCGGAAGCGCTACCCTGTTACAAAGTATAAACGCAGCCTTATTCGTCGTCTAATGGAAAAGGCGAGACTCTCCCAACTCCCTCTACTTCTCGCAGATTTTTCGTGGTATCGGCTCTATCCGACACATTAGTACGCTATGGTGCCTAGCTGGCGCATCGTCTGAAAGGTTAGGATATTTGGAATTAACCATTACTTTCTTAAGATATCATCTACGTCTCTGTGATTTCATTCGAAATCGTAGTGGTATTTTAAAGCGGTTTGGTCTTTGCTGCGAATGGCGTATCGTTGATGATACGCTGATGATACGTTGACTGCTGATGTACGCACTTTTTGTAACTTCACTATTTTCTGGGGGGTGCGAACTCCGACTTAGGGGGGGGAGGGCGGCACCCAATATACAATTTAATTCTTGGGCTATCTACGCAATAACAGAAACGATAAAGAGATAGTACTGTTCATTTTCTCAGGGAATACACTGGACTGGATACCAAAGCCAGCTGTCCAAGTCAGTACCATTAAAATTTCACTGCCGTGCACGGATGGCCGAGTGGTCTAAGGCGCCAGACTCAAGAGCATACTTACCGCGAGACAGCGGATTGAGCGTTCTGGTACTCGTATGGGTGCGTGGGTTCAAATCCCACTCCGTGCAAAATTTTGTCATTTGAATGGCATTACTGACAAAGCTCGCAGTTTGCAAATAAAACTACAAAAATTTCGTCTATTCGGGGATCAGTACCATTAAAATTTCACTGCCGTGCACGGATGGCCGAGTGGTCTAAGGCGCCAGACTCAAGAGCATACTTACCGCGAGACAGCGGATTGAGCGTTCTGGTACTCGTATGGGTGGGTGCGTGGGTTCAAATCCCACTCCGTGCAAAATTTTGTCATTTGAATGGCATTACTGACAAAGCTCGCAATTTGCAAATAAAACTACAAAAATTTCCGTCTATTCGGGGATCAGTACCATTAAAATTTCACTGCCGTGCACGGATGGCCGAGTGGTCTAAGGCGCCAGACTCAAGAGCATACTTACCGCGAGACAGCGGATTGAGCGTTCTGGTACTCGTATGGGTGCGTGGGTTCAAATCCCACTCCGTGCAAAATTTTGTCATTTGAATGGCATTACTGACAAAGCTCGCAATTTGCAAATAAAACTACAAAAATTTCGTCTATTCGGGGATCAGTACCATTAAAATTTCACTGCCGTGCACGGATGGCCGAGTGGTCTAAGGCGCCAGACTCAAGAGCATACTTACCGCGAGACAGCGGATTGAGCGTTCTGGTACTCGTATGGGTGCGTGGGTTCAAATCCCACTCCGTGCAAAATTTTGTCATTTGAATGGCATTACTGACAAAGCTCGCAGTTTGCAAATAAAACTACAAAAATTTCGTCTATTCGGGGATCAGTACCATTAAAATTTCACTGCCGTGCACGGATGGCCGAGTGGTCTAAGGCGCCAGACTCAAGAGCATACTTACCGCGAGACAGCGGATTGAGCGTTCTGGTACTCGTATGGGTGCGTGGGTTCAAATCCCACTCCGTGCAAAATTTTGTCATTTGAATGGCATTACTGACAAAGCTCGCAATTTGCAAATAAAACTACAAAAATTTCGTCTATTCGGGGATCAGTACCATTAAAATTTCACTGCCGTGCACGGATGGCCGAGTGGTCTAAGGCGCCAGACTCAAGAGCATACTTACCGCGAGACAGCGGATTGAGCGTTCTGGTACTCGTATGGGTGCGTGGGTTCAAATCCCACTCCGTGCAAAATTTTGTCATTGAATGGATTTACTGATACAAAGCTCGCAATTTGCAAATAAAACTACAAAAATTTCGTCTATTCGGGGATCAGTACCATTAAAATTTCACTGCCGTGCACGGATGGCCGAGTGGTCTAAGGCGCCAGACTCAAGAGCATACTTACCGCGAGACAGCGGATTGAGCGTTCTGGTACTCGTATGGGTGCGTGGGTTCAAATCCCACTCCGTGCAAAATTTTGTCATTTGAATGGCATTACTGACAAAGCTCGCAAAATTTGCAAATTAACTACAAAAAATTTCGTTTTATTCGCGGATCGGCTTACCATTAAAATTTCACTGCCGTGCACGGATGGCCGAGTGGTCTAAGGCGCCAGACTCAAGAGCATACTTACCGCGAGACAGCGGATTGAGCGTTCTGGTACTCGTATGGGTGCGTGGGTTCAAATCCCACTCCGTGCAAAATTTTGTCATTTGAATGGCATTACTGACAAAGCTCGCAGTTTGCAAATAAAACTACAAAAATTTCGTCTATTCGGGGATCAGTACCATTAAAATTTCACTGCCGTGCACGGATGGCCGAGTGGTCTAAGGCGCCAGACTCAAGAGCATACTTACCGCGAGACAGCGGATTGAGCGTTCTGGTACTCGTATGGGTGCGTGGGTTCAAATCCCACTCCGTGCAAAATTTTGTCATTTGAATGGCATTACTGACAAAGCTCGCAATTTGCAAATAAAACTACAAAAATTTCGTCTATTCGGGGATCAGTACCATTAAAATTTCACTGCCGTGCACGGATGGCCGAGTGGTCTAAGGCGCCAGACTCAAGAGCATACTTACCGCGAGACAGCGGATTGAGCGTTCTGGTACTCGTATGGGTGCGTGGGTTCAAATCCCACTCCGTGCAAAATTTTGTCATTTGAATGGCATTACTGACAAAGCTCGCAGTTTGCAAATAAAACTACAAAAATTTCGTCTATTCGGGGATCAGTACCATTAAAATTTCACTGCCGTGCACGGATGGCCGAGTGGTCTAAGGCGCCAGACTCAAGAGCATACTTACCGCGAGACAGCGGATTGAGCGTTCTGGTACTCGTATGGGGCAAGATGAATATCAAATCCCACTCCGTGCAAAATTTTATCATTTGAATGGCATTACTGACAAAGCTCGCATTTTGCAAATAAAACTACAAAAATTTCGTCTATTCGGGGATCAATAATAAACAAAATGATAAAATTTCACTGCCGTGCACGGATGGCCGAGTGGTCTAAGGCGCCAGACTCAAGAGCATACTTACCGCGAGACAGCGGATTGAGCGTTCTGGTACTCGTATGGGTGCGTGGGTTCAAATCCCACTCCGTGCAAAATTTTGTCATTTGAATGGCATTACTGACAAAGCTCGCAGTTTGCAAATAAAACTACAAAAATTTCGTCTATTCGGGGATCAGTACCATTAAAATTTCACTGCCGTGCACGGATGGCCGAGTGGTCTAAGGCGCCAGACTCAAGAGCATACTTACCGCGAGACAGCGGATTGAGCGTTCTGGTACTCGTATGGGTGCGTGGGTTCAAATCCCACTCCGTGCAAAATTTTGTCATTTGAATGGCATTACTGACAAAGCTCGCAGTTTGCAAATAAAACTACAAAAATTTCGTCTATTCGGGGATCAGTACCATTAAAATTTCACTGCCGTGCACGGATGGCCGAGTGGTCTAAGGCGCCAGACTCAAGAGCATACTTACCGCGAGACAATAAAATTTCACTGCCGTGCGCGATGTTAGACAGTGTTCATGAACGAATATGAGTTGTCGCGCGCGCCCTAATTTCAGAAATGGTCAGTTGTGTTGCTTGAATGCTATTAACAAGATGGTAAGTAACAGTTACAAAATCGAAGGGAAAAAAAAACAGAAAAACCACTAGAAACGCCACATACGGATCCCCGTGCAGAATCGCCCTGTTCCTGAGGCGAGGGATGGGCGTCGTCGTACGAATTCGTTCCTGCTGGCGCCAGCTCCCCCATCCTCCTAATGCCCGTTGTCATCCATTGAACACTGGAGAGAGAGAGCAGGCCAGATTATCTGCGATTTTCATGATCCACCTTCAGAAAGGAAATGATTCGCTGTCGTGGCGAAGGTGCGGAGCCGGGCCTCGTCTCGCGTGGATCCCGACTAGCTTACGTATTTTGGAGCTACAACAGTAGTACGTCCTCCAAGGTTACGAACAGGACTACCATGTCCAATGAAGACGTCTGCGCATCATCTCACCTAATTGTATTTCTTCACGCCTGTTCTGCATCTATTCCACTACTATCACATCTATAGAAGCAATATACAGAGCACATCTCATGGGGTGGGTTGGCTGCAAACCTTCTTTCGCACATCATGACAGATGGCCTTTTTAATTGGGACATTTGCTTTTAGAACAACACTCATCTCGTCTTGTGCTGGAATAAAATGTCGCGAACCGGCATTCCAACAAAAGTGCAACCGACGGCATACTCAAATGGCAACCGATGGCATAAAATGGAGTACACAGACACGCCCATTCTATCACCGGGATATGACGTGTATGTACCCTCGAAATCCCTGAGATCGGGTAGGCGTGGCCGCATGTTTCAACTTAATCTGAAGGCATCTATACTTCTGGTGAGATAGAAATTGTCCCAGACTGAAATATTCTACGAGGTATCCAGTTCCGAGCCATGTCCAAATGCCACGCCTACTCTGGCTCAGGGAGTATAACTAGTCGCAGACTGAAGTAAACGTCCTTTTTGGGTTCTGAAAGGTTCCGGTTTTACCACACAGTAAAGACGTATTGAAGGAATTACAAATAAAAGATGTAGCACAATATGAGCCATTTAATCTCGTGGATGCGCCATGCCATCGGCTCCCTTTGGTATTTGTGATGGTGTGTTCTAGCTACATCTAAGGAATCCATAGCTGAGCGATGCAGAGAGGAGTGCTTTTACCCTCCCAAACAATCAAGTGAAATGTAAACGGCTCCGAAAAAAGCAAAGGAAAAGTAGTTTCAGGTTTGGGAGCTAGTTTATTAAATATGGACGCGATTAATACCTGGCAACACTTCATTTTGCTCTAGACGTCTAAAATAACCCGTCCTTAGCGGCAAAAGTCAAACGCTATAAAGGCATCCATTGGGCCACGTTCGTTTGGGAGAATCGGAGAAAGGTGCTTACCGGAACACCCGAGAGATGGACCAAGTACAGATCGATTTTGATCCTGCTCAGACGGACTCGACGGAATTGACCCGTAATTGCTCTTCCTGCGGGGTGCGTGCACTTAGATACCCGGGTGGGCGTGGCCACAGGGGCAAGGCTTCGAAATGGACCGGTGTTTCCCAAATTTGTGCCGCAATAGATATTAGACGGGAGCACCGTTTACAAGGTAAACGTTCCTATTGTCTTCAAGGTGTGCTTAATGTTGATTTCATGATCATACGTAAGACCTGATAACCACTTTTTCGCCTCTGCTAAGTTAATTCTTCCTCTCGGAACTTCTTAGTTCAAGCAGTAGAAACACACAGCTGTTTAATAAGAAGGAAATTATCGTCTCCAAGCTCAGGAAGAAGCGCTGAAGCCTAATTATATCCGTCCACGTCAAGCCCTCGCCCTATTTTGGCCACGCCCACCGGGTATCTAAGTCACGTTGCCCTTCCTGCATGTCCTGTGAATGACTGATCTTCTAGTTCTCCGATTTCGAATAACAATACGCACCCATACCTCTTCGCCAATCCGCTGGCTCGGCTCGTCACGGCGGCGGCCGTAACATAATTGTACGTGACTTGCGGAGAATACATCACAAC